AGGATGGGTCTCTACAGGCAAATGGCTCCCTATTTCCCATACACTCTTGTGGACGGCATTGTTTGTTAAGGAAACTTGCAGCACTGATAACACAAAGGTATTCTCTTCCCAATTTGTCAAGTCCCTTCCAAGAAGGCACTTGAATCCCACAATTTAAATGCCGTAGGGAATTTGTACCCCATTCCCTTCCCACTTTCTGCATAAGGCCTTCCCTCTGCCTCTTCCTCCAGAATTGTTCTTCTTTCTTAACTTTTCTCTTTCTTTTTTATTGTCACCTGGGGACAAGCTTACTGACTCTAGAAAGAGGGGAAGGAACTGTGCTTGAACAACAATTAAAAATGTGAAAAGAATAGCTAAAAAAAAGAAAGAGGTTTGGGTGGGGAGAGAGAGGGAGAGAAACACCTATGCAAAAAAGAAACATTGATAAGTTGCCTCTTGCACACGTACCTGGAATAGGGAATCAAACCCACAACTCAGCTATGTGCCCTGACTGGGAGTTGAACCTGTGACCTTTTGGTTTGCAGGACAATAACCAACTGTCCAGGGCCTAGCTCATTTCTTCTACTTGATTCAGCAATTGCTTTATTCACTTGTAAACATCTTAAAGGCAGTAAGTATGGTCCTCACCATTTTTAGCTCTCCCATTCCTTGCAAATAAAAAGCAGTTCAAGTTAAGCAGAAGAGGTATAAATGACTTTTAAGCCATCAATATTAACCCATTCATTTCTGCTACCACCACAATTAGCACTACCCTGCATAACCACCTTTTAAAAATATAAGGTGTAGCCCTGGGTGCCATGGCTCAGTGGATTGGGTGACAGCCTGCGAGGCAAGGGGTCGGTGGCTCAGTTCCTGGTCAGTTCCTGGTCAGGGCACATGCCTGGGCTGTGGGTCAGGTCCCAGTGGGGGTGTGCATGAGAGGTGACCACACACTGGTGTTTCTCTCCCTCTCTTTCTCTCTCCCTTCCCTTCTAAAAATAAATAAATATTTTTAAAGGACATAAGGTTTATTTTGTCTGGGTATAAAAGAAATATACGTTCATTGTATGCAAGCTATACTCCACCTTTTAAGAGTAAGTTTCACGGCATACGGAGGGAAAGCAGACGTTTTGAGTACACATTCCTCCTTGAATTTTCCCGTTAGAGTCTACCTCTCAGGCTCTTGTTCTTGGCCTCTCCTATACATGCCATTGAGCTTCCACCTTTTCAACTGCTGGGACTTCTGGACACGGACCCCACTGCAGCAGAGCTGGCCAAGGGCTGGGTGTGAGCAGACCCACCACCCCTTCACTCCTCTTCCCTTTTGATGCTACAATATGTAGCACAGAGATGACGAATCCACTGGCTTTTTCTTTAAGTATAGTTGGCATATAATCTTATATTAGTTTCAGGTATACAACATAATGATTCAACATTTCTATACCTTACGATATGATCACCACGGTACGTCTGGTAACCATCTATCACCATGAAGTTATCACTATATTGTTGACAATTTTCCTTTGCTCTGCTTACCTCTCCACGTCTTCCTTATTTTATAACTGGAAGTTTATAGCTCTTTTTCCCCTTCACCTTTCTCATCCACCCCCCAGCCCCGCCCTCCCCGCCGGCAACCAGGTTGTTCTCTGTATCTGAGTCTGTTTCTATTTTGCTCGGTTTGGTAGGTGGACTTTCGACCCTAAGGAATTACAAAGTGGGCCTAAAAGCTTAAAGCTGAGATCGATAGGACATTTCACCAAGTCCAAGGGGGAGAACCAGAAAAAGACTCTTTACCTAGGGGTCCCCTGGGGGAGGCACCACCAGGAGAGGAGAAGTGCCCTCTTCTTACCTGCCGCTGTAGTCCCTCTTACGACCACCTTCAAGAAACCTACCCTTGCCCACCCTAGTAGGCATAACACCTTTCCTAAGTCCGAATCAGTCACCCTGGAGCACTGTTTCCCACCGCCACCCCAACCACCCACACTCCAAGTTTCAGTAGGGAAGGTCGGGGACACTGAGTCTCATAGAGCAGTTCAGGACCAAAGTACAGCACAGCCCGCTCCATGCCCCAGTTGGGTCCTCCAATTCTACTTTTCTCCAAAATCTGTTAGGCTGAAAATATATACCCACATCCCAAAATCAAACGTTCCTGATAGGTGGTATCACCTAAACCCATGAGAAAATGTTATAACCATTCATAATTTTTAATACATATATGTATTGAAATCTAATATATTAAGCAAATGGAAGAAAAATGTTTGTATAACAGGGAGAGATTTTTAAAATCAACTTTATTAGAGTTTTACAGCATAGCTGTGATAAAGGCAAGGAGATGAAAAGAAAAAAGGGGTTTAACCATTATATGAGGAAAACCGTACAGAAGTGTTCAGCTCAGTGATTTTCCACCACTCAGCTCAAGAAGTGGAACGGTGTCAGCACCTGCAGAAATCTCTCTCGAGTCCTCCCAGTCACTAGGTGCCCATATTTCCAAAAGCAGCCACTGTCCAAACTTCTCTCTGCATAGATCAGACTTGCTACTTTTGAGCGTTATAGAAATGAATCGGACATTAGGTATTTATTTGGGTCTGGCTCCTTTCACTCACTATTATCTTTATGAGCAACACCAATGGTGTTCTTATAGCAGTAATTTATTCCTCTTTATTGTTTTATAGTTCTCTGTGATATAAATACACCACAGTTTATCTTTCATTCTACAGCTGATAGACGTTTAGACTGTTTCTACTTTGCAGCTTCTAGTGGGTTGAATGTTGGCTCCACAAAAGATACCTGCACATCCTAGTCCCTGGGGCCTGCGCATATTACTTTGTTTAGGAAAAAAAGACTCTTCGCAAATGTAATTAAGTTAAGAATCTTGAGATGAGGAGATCATCCTGGATTATCCAAGTGGGCTCTAGATCCAATGACGAGAGTCCCTAAAAGAATGAGGCAGAAGGAGACTTCAGACACAGAAAGGGGAAAAAAGGGCCAGGAGCAGGTGGGGGCAGAGATTGGAGTGACATTGCCACAAACCAAAAAGTGCTAAAAGAGACTAGGAACAGAACCTTGCCTGGAGCTTCTGGAGGGAGCTCAGCCCTGAGCACACTGGATTTCAGACCGCTGGCCTCCAGGACTGACAGCCAGACGCAAAATCACTGTTGTGTTAGGCAGCCAAGTTTCTGGTAATTTGTTATGATAGCCACAGGAGACTAATACAGGGCTACTAGGAATAAATTTGCTATGCATTTTGGTGTATATTGTTGGTACAACACATATGCATAATAAACACACACCTAAGAATGGAATTGCTGGATGATAGGGTGGCTATATGCTTAGCACTAAGAGACATTGTCAAACAGTTTTCCCGAGTGGTTACCAATTTACACTCCCACCAGCAACACTTGACAGATCCAGTTTCTCCACATCTTTGTCAGCCTTGGAATTGTGGGTCTTTTCTATTTTGCCCCCCTGGTGGATGTGCAGAGCTTTTAATTTGCATCTTCCCAAGGACTAATGGGGTGTGCGCTTGTTTACTAGCCATTGGAATATGATCTTCTGTGATGTGCCTACTCATTTTTTGTCAATTTTTCCAGTGTTCTGTCTTATTGATTTGTTATAATATATATGATACTTTTTTCATTAAATATTTGATATATATGTGTATATGTATATATATATATATATATATATGTGTACACACACACATAATACCTTTGTCAAAAATGTAATGCAAATATCTTCTCTCACCCTATGACTTACCTTTTCATTCTCTTCGAGAAGTTTTGGGGTGAAAGGAAGTTCTAATTTTTTATGATATCTGCGTTACTATTCTTTTCTTTTATGGTTAGTGCTCTTGTGTCTTGTTTTAAGAAATCTTTGCTGCTTGTGGAGATGAACAAGTGTGGTGACTGAGGGGGGTGGGGAGTGGGTGGAGGTAGGGGGAGAAATGGAAATGGAAAAAAACGATAAGAATGTAAAAAATATTTTTCATACCAAAAATCATTTAAAAAAATCTTTGCTGCTCCGAAGTCATGAGCACATTTTCATAATCTTCTAGAAGCCTTATTTACTTTATCCTTCACATTTAGATTAGCAATTTATCTAGAATTAATTCTGTGTATTGTTAAAATATAACTTTCCAATAAAAAAATAAAATCATGACTCATACCAATATAAAAAGAAATGTTAGCATTTTGTTTAATGTATTAATAAGGAAAACTGGCAAGGTATTTTCACCTGTTCAAAGGTGAATCCAAAGAACAGACACATTTATAGAGCAAGAATATTGAAATGAATATGCAAATTGAGGCAAAACTGGTTTTTGCATGACTGGAACAAGATTATCCCCCCACCAGACAGAATTTATTTTCATGAATTTGCATTGATCCCAATTATGCACAAGTTACAGAGTTATAAAATAGTTGCCAGAAAGTCAAAATTAGATAACCCGGAGGGTATGCTACAAAAAATGAAGTTTTCCATTGAAGCACAAAATTTTCTTGTCATATGGTATCAGATAGGGGTCAGGGTTCTTCATATATATTTTTTAAATAGACCTTGTGTCATTTATTGAAAAACCCAGCCTTCCTCCACCGTCTCTTCACTATCACCATTTCTCCACACATGTGGATTCACTTATGAACACTGTTTAGTTCCACTGGCCAGTAAGTCTATTCCTAAACTAACACCGTGATGTCTTAGCCCTCACAGCTTTATAATACATCTTGATATCTAGTCATGTAAAACCTTTGGTTTTGTCCCTCCTCCATCTAGATTTTTTGTCTATCCTTGGTCCTTTGCATTTTCATATGTATATTTTAGAATCAATTGTTAATTTCTAAAATTTAAATAACTGCTCAAATTTTGGTTGAGACTGCATTGAATTTATAGGACGATTTGGGGAAATTTCATATGTTTATAATATTGAATCTTACAAACAATGCACAAAGTATGTTCTTTTTAAATTGAATTTATTTCAATGTTTGTAATTTTTTAGATAGAGGTCTTATATGTCTTTTGTCGTTTGTTAGATTTATTTCTAAGTATTTGATATTTTAAATATTATAAATAGTATCACTGTATGTTTTCATTTTTTAATAACCTTTTATAATGTGCAAAACATCTCTCGTCCTAAGAGGAGCCCATCGGTCACAAAACACAGTGGTGTTTGGTTGTTCTCTCTCCTTCTCCCTCTTCCTCTTTTCTTCTTTGGCAGACACACCGCTCGGCGAGGTCCTTTGGGCCTTACCAGGAACAAGAAAGAAGGCTCCCTTAAGAACACAAAGAAATTAGCATTTGAAAATGGGCTCTATTAAATTCTCAACCTACAGCCCTCATTCCCCTCAGTGTCTCTCTGTTTTTTAAATCTCAAGCTTCTTTTTATTTACTTTATTGAGCTATACTTTACACAATATAGAATTCACCATTTTAAAATATGCAATTCAGCCCTGGCTGGTGTAGCTCAGTGGATTGAGCGCGGGCCTGCGAACCACACGATCACGGTTCGATTCCCAGTCAGGGCACATGCCTGAGTTGCAGGCCAGTTCCCTGCAGGCCAGTTCCCTGCAGGCCAGTTCCCAGCAGGGGACGCACAAAAGGCAACCATACATTGATGTTTCTCTCCCTCTCTCCTTCCCCCACTTCCCCTCTAAAGATAAATAAATAATAAAATATTTTTAAAAAATATGCAATTCAATGGTTTTTAGTATCTCACTATGCTGTACAATCACCATTGTATCATTCCAGAACATTTCCATTACAAGAAAAAGAAACCCCATGCTTCTTAGCCATCAGTCCCAATTCCTCTTCCCCCCACCCCTCAGTTAGCACTGATCTGCTTTGTGTCTCTGTAGCTTTGCCTGTTCAAAACATTTCCTGTGAATGGAATATATGTGGCTTTTGTGTCTGGCTTTTTTTACTTATCCTACAGTTTTCAACGTTCATCCAGGCTGTAGCATGTAACAGAACTTCATTTGTTTTTATGGCATTTCTTCTGTTTTAATCCAGGAAAGGAGAGAAAATTGGTTCATAGGAGACCTGGAAAATAAGAAAAGTAGAAAAAAGTGTCTAAAAATCACATATTCCATCTTGGAAAAATAACAACTGTTATCATTTCAGTGTATGTTTTCCAATACTTTTTCTGTGTACACATTAAATGCAGTTGGCATTATACTGTGTACAAAACAAATACAATTGTATGTCCTATTTTCCCCATGTTTTCTCATTTTATTAGACAATTTCATTTATTTAACTTCCACTGGTTGCTTAATTTCATTATGAGAATGTAAACTGGTATTTTTAACCATCTCCCTATTACCAAACATAATACTATAACACTTACATGAAAATCTTTGTGCATAAAACACTGTCTGCATTTAGCCCTGGCAGGGTAGCACAATTGGTTAAAGGTGGCCGGTTTGGTCCTGGTCAGGGCACCTGCAGGAATCAACCAATGAATGCATAAACGAGTAGAACAACAACTCTCTCTCTCTCCCTTTCTCTCTCCCCCCTCCTCTCTCTCTCTCTAAAACTCAATTAAAAAACACGTACATATTTAGATTTATTTCCTTAAAATAGAGTCTGGAAAATGGGTTAAATGTGGTAAACATTCTTAATGTTTATTATCCATCATGACAAATATCACTCCCTCAGTAATGTACTGGAAAAGCTATTTCACCCAACCTTTACCAATATCATACATTTTTATATGTGTTAATCTGATAGATTGAGTGGTAATTTCTGTGTTTATGCAACTGCAAAACAGTGTAATTTGCATTTCTTGGATGTCTAGCAGGGTTTAATATTTTCATGTCTGTCAATCAATTATTTTGTCTTACATGTTAACTATTCATTTGTAGCCTTTTTTTTAACTTCTCTGTTGGGGTCTTAGTACTTTTTTACTAATTTATAAATACCCTTATGTAGACATTGACCCTTTTTATAGCTTCTGATAATCTACTTTTTCCTCCCTTTTTGTCATTTACCTTTAATTCAGTCATTAATGTCTTATTTCTGTATAGACAGAAAGGTTCTTTATGGGGGGAGGAGGTGATGTTTCCCACCGCTCTAAGCTTAGACCTCCTTCCCTTTGGAGATCAAGTAAAATATTTGCTTTATCTGATTCTTTTTCACCTAGTCTGTTTTGGCTGGAATTTTTACTATTTTATGCTTTAATCTCTGAAATTTATATTGGTATATGATGTGGTATAATGATAAATTTTACTTTTTTCCACAAAATTCTTTTTTTAAAGATTTTACTTACTCATTTTTAGAGAGAGGGGAAGAGAAGGAGAATGAGAGAGTTATCAATGTGCAGTTGCCTCTTGCATGCCCCCATCCTAGGGACCCGGCCCACAACCCAGGCATGTGCCCTGACTGGGAATCGAACTGGCAACCCTTTGGTTCACAGCCCACGCTCAGTCCACTGAGATACACCAGCCAGGGCTACAAAGTTCTAATTAAATATTAAAACATAATTTATTGAATAACCTCACCCTCTGCTTATTGGATTTATGATCATTTTAATTGTATAATAAGTTCTTATATATACAGACAGGGTCTGTTTGAGACATCTAGTCTTCCCATGTGATTCTAACCATCTGATTACATAAGATCAGGTCAACCTATTTCTGTACATTCCAAGAAAAGAGAAGAATGTATATATCCCGGAAAGCCTCCTCTTTGCTCAGTTTTACTGAATCCAGATACCACAGGGTAAGAAAAAACTTTGAAAGGTCCATACCTGTCTTCAGGCTGAACTACACTTAAACCACCCCATAAGGCCTTCACGAGCTAAGAAGGACCTCACAGTCTACCACCATGGGGCACTTTTATCAAATATTATTAAACATTCATATTGTACTAAGGAAGAATCTTTATAAACTTTGATCCAGAAATAGAGTGGGATCTATATTTTGAGGATTTATATTCCATAGAAAAAATACAGTTAAATATATTTGATGTCACTTTCCAAACATACGTGAAGAGAGAAAGACTGACATATTTTAATGGCCCTTGACTAGATCCTTGACCTCCTATAGAAAGAGACAAAATCTCTAACAAATAGTGAAAAGTTTTATGCAGAAAATTGTTATACAGACAAAGATAAACATAAAACCATGACAAGTGCTATTAAGGTATCTCAGCATTTTTCGACTTGTTTTGACTATGACATCTTCACCAAATGCACTTGACATCAGGACATCAAATGCAGCTGAGCTTCTCCGAGAGTGGCACTGGAGGGTGGTAGAAGTTACGTGAGTGAAGAGGGGAAGAACCATCCTAACAGAGGAAGAAGTGTGTGCAAAGGCCCTGTGGCAGGAGGGAGCAGAAATAGGAGGCAGTGTCAAAAGTCTAACAACTAGATCCAAAGATAAGGCCGGGAGAATGGTAAGACACAGACCATGCACAACCCTGGAGGCCATAGCAAGAACGCTTGTTCTTAGGAACGTGTTGGGAACCCTACACCTGGCTTCTAGCTAAAAACATTGCATTGATTACAGGAACCTGTGCGCTCCACAAAGCCAATCGGCTACAGGCACATGAGGTGTGCATGTGCTCCCCAAGCCAATTGGCTACAGGCACATGAGGTGTCCACGAGTACCAGTTGCACCCAAGTAATCAATAAGCGGGCCCTTCTTTGTCTCAAGCTAGCCAATAGCAAGCAACCTAATCTCCTTCCTCTCCCTCCCCCCTATATATATACCCAGTTCGGAAAAATAAAAGTTTGCAGCTTGATCAGAATCTTTTGTCTTGCTGCCATTCTTCGCGCCTCTTGTCCCCCCAACTCATTTGTTCTAGGTAGGTGGTCGAGCCCCAGTTGATTGCTCCGCGGGCTGGAGCAGGAACGGATCTGTGTTTTGAAAAGATCACTGGCTGAAGGGTGGACACACAACAGGGCGGAGCATGGGTGAAGGGAGATGAGTTAGAAGGCTGGGGCTGAGTAGTAATGGTGAGAAGGAAGAAAAAGAGTGCAATCTGGAGACTGCAGGCTGTGATTCCACGGGGCTTATGAAATACCCACACTGCGCATGTGCTGTTGTAAATCTTGAAGCTGCAGCAGAAGACAAGAGAGAAGATTATGTTCCTTCTCTGGGTTTCTGGCTTGCATACTGCAGACAATGATGCCATTAACTAACACAGGGAACACTGGAAGGAAGATCAGGTTCCATTTTGGTCATGTTGAGCTTTGGGTACCTTTGAGACACCCAAGACGATGGCAAACAGACCGTGGGGTTTATGGGTCTGGAGCTCAGAGCAGAGGTTTGTACTGAGAATATTATCTACTTCATCAGAACCAAACCAAGAGATAGGAGACATGCCATTAAAATATCTTTGTGTAGGTAAAGCTGAGCTGGAAGTTGCACAAGAATTCATTCCAGCCCCGGTTGGGTGGCCCGGTGTCATCCCCTACACCAAAAGGTTGTGGGTTCAATCCCCCCAGTGAAGGTACATACCTAGGTTGCAGGTTCAGTCCCCAGTCGGGGCACATAATGAAGGCAACCAATCGATGTTTCTCTCTTGCATCTCTTTCTCTCTCCCTCTCCCTTCCACTTTCTCTAAAATCAATAAATATATCCTCAGGTGAGGAGTAATGAAAAAAATTTTTTCATTCCAAATGCCACCATCTCATGGTCTTTTTAGAAGTTATTTCAAATATTCCAATCTTACGAGTTTAGGGATTTAGAAGCTCTAAGGGGATTACTAGGGGAAAGGTCATGCATGAGTCCATCATAGCCCAACAGTTAAAGGGACGGAGCCTCCTCAGCCCCCACCTCGGCATCCTAAAGCTTGGTGAGGCGTCAGGAAGGCCAGGGGTCAAAAGTCAAGGCTGTGTGGTTCTGTCGCCTTTTCCCGTAAGGAGATGCTTTTCCTACCATGGTCTTGGAAGATTCCGGATGTTACGGTCACAAAGGAGGTGGTCATTTTCTTACATTAGGACAAGGTTCAGTCAATATCAAAATATCTAACCTTTCAGAGTCATGTTTTTCTTTCTATTTATTTCTACCCTGCCCTGTTTCAAAGAGAATTTAACGTGGTTTACAAAACCGCATAAATGAAGTTGAACGACATAAATCAGAGCAGCTCCAGGAAGGCGAGGCAGAGGGAAAACACGGGCAGGACTGAAACTGGGCTGGGAGGGAGGCCAACCTGCCGCAGAGTCCCAAAGGCACGTGGGGCCCCGGACTGTCGGGCTTTCTAAAACTTGCTGAAGCTGTCGAACCAGTGTCGTGTTTTCATTCTCCAGAATCCTAGCATTGTTGGGGACAAAGCCCAGTGGAACAATCAAACCCGGCTTCACAGGCCAGAAGGAGGCCTCCCACCTAATTCTGTGCCCTCACGCAGGTGGTGAGCACCACAGCTCACCAGCTGGTCCTCCCGTGTGCTTCCTGGAACCCGGACTCACCGGATACGCACCTGCGATTGAAAAGTCCCTGTAAGGAGATGTTTGTCCAGGTGTTTGGTCTGTTGGCTGTGGAGTCCCAGATTCCTAACAGCAGTTTGAGCTTCCAAGGACAAGGGGCTCCTAGGAGCAGCAGGAGCAGGCAAAGCCATTATACTACCTCCACGTGCGTGCCCACATACACACACGCACACAGCTGGGTGGACGGAGAGTCAGCCTGGCTGATGCTGGGGTGTGGAAGAATGCCTTTGAATTTCTTTACCCCTCCCAGACAAATACTCGTGGCCACCACCCAGGACTTCACCTGAGCCACATTCCAAAGACACTTGGGATACCAAGGCACGTGGGAAACGCACACAAGAGCAGATCTCAGCCCTCCCTCCTCCTCTGCTCTGACCCAGGCAAAGGGAAGGAGTTACCAGGGCAGAGGTGCCCTACTGCTCAATTCAAGCTCAGGTTTCCTCTTCCCAGCTCCCAAGTTTGCTAAACAGCGCCACCTGCTGCCTCAAAATGAGGAACCCCAAGAAAGTTTGTGTTTGTGTCAGACTTACAGGTTCTCATTCCCACCGTGCACGAGACTCAGAAAAGGCAGAGGGAGGGCAGGACATCCCACCCACACCCGCCTTATGCCCTCTCCTGCCCAGCCCCCGCCCACTCCACTCCAGCCCCACCCCTCTGTTCAACCACCAGCTTCCCACAGCTTTACACTAACTCCGCCATAATATCAGCCATCCCCCCAAAAACAGCTTACCACTGATAAAAACAGGTCCTGAACCCAGACTCTGCCATTGCGCCTCTGCACACCCAGACAGGAAGGGACTGGTGTGCTCTGGGTCTGTAGGACAAACCCTTCAAAGTTCTCATAGAAGACATGCTGCTCGGTCAGTGTTTAAAATTGTGGTAAAACACGAGTAACACAGAGCTTACATTTTTAAGTGTCCAGTTCGGTACTGTTAAGTAATTCACATTCTGGTGCAACCAGTATCCCATAAGTCTTTTCGTCTGAAATCCAGTCACATTTTCAACACCACTCTCCCCCCAGTTCTGACCACGTCCCCTCTCATACCTCAAGTTCTTCTTGATTACCACACATTTGTTTCACTGACGCCACGAATCCCTGTGGAGCTCACAGAATGTAGCCCACTAGCTCAGCCATTTCTCATTTCCCCACGGGCTGTCTATAAACACTGGTTTGTTTAGTTTCTGTCTCTACCCCTCCTTGAAGCAGTTTTTATTTCCTGGTTTTGGCACCTCCTGACAAAGAGAAGGCAGGAAAAAGGACAGCAGTTGAGGTTGGATTGTCGGCCTGCAGCTGCAGCTGGGAGGCACTGACCAGGAAAGGACTGAGCACTGTCGGCTGAGCTGCCTGAATCTCAGGGACACATAGGGGGGACTGGACGGGCTCTCGGAGCCCCACACCCCCGAAAGTGTATGCGAATTTCATGTGCGTGGGGGAACATATGTTTTTCCAGGGAGATTTTCTCTACCACTCCCCAGATTCTCAAGGGGTCCCGGACCTAGAAAAAGCTGAGACCACAGGAGGCGCCCTTGGCAAGTAGCATCTGGGCTTTCGTGGATGTATCCAGATCCTTTCTTGGACAATCAAGGCCTGTGAACCACAGGATGTTCAACAGTCTCCCTGCCCGTGTGTGACCACAGCTGTGGACCGAAGGGGCAAGGACATCACAGGAGGACAACTGGAGCCTCGCACTAGGAAGAAAGACTGAAGTGGAATCGTGAGGGAAGGGTGACAAATCTGCAGACACTCTCGGGAAGCCAGAGACACGAGGAGGCCACAGAGAAAGTGGTTCACGTTCTCCTGCAACCAGGCTCCCAAAACTCTTTCCATCTGAACCCCAGTAACACTTTCAACACCTTCTCCCCCCAGTTCCGACCATGTCCCTTCTCATGTCTCAAGCCCTTCTTGATTGCCATACATTTTTCTTTTCAGCGACACCGTGAATCCTCGTGGGGTCTTTCATAACCCACTCTGGCCTTGGGCGACTCCTTGAGTTCTCTCCTGGGGACTTGAGTGACCACAGAACTTTCCAGAAGACTTCCAATAATAACACTCATTATGCTCTTTGCAGACATGATCTTACCACAACCCATAAAAGTGGGTATTTCAATCCCCATTTTACAGAGGAAAAAACAGAGCCTTGAGGATAATAAGCAACTTTCCCTAAGTCAGATAAATGCAGAGCACAGATTCAAACTCAGTTCTGCCTCACCCCAAAGGGCATTCTCCTAACCATAAAATTATCCTTATTTTCAAAAATTGTGATACATTGGAGAAAAGCTCATTTTTCTTAAGTACAGAATATACCTTCCCTCCTCCCCATGCCATCCAAGGAAATCCCTTTTCTTTGGGGAAATAAGCTGCTCAGGTGTGTGGAGGGGGCGACACCCCCAGAGGGTGTGCTCCCACACCGAGAGGTGCTCTCTGCACTGCCTTCTAAGGCTGGACTGTGCTGAGTGCAGGGTATAAGTCTGGGCTCTGGACTGAGTTGCTCAAGGTCATTAAGAGGTTTGAGAGGTTGTAAACAGGTGAGAGGAAGGGGAGGAAAATGAGGGAGCTGGTAGCCAGCCAGGGACTTTGGGGGAACAGCAGGCAGGCCTACTGGGGATTTTACTGAGTGTGCCATGTTGGATAATTTCCCTTCCCCATGACCCCATGACAGCTTCGGCTTTGTGGGGTGAGAGGGATGTCAGAGGAATGCAGGGACACGCTGAGTTTGCCTCGAAGGGAGACGAGGAGGAGTCAAGGCTGTGACTGGAGGCTTACCTGCACTCAGCATCCCACAGTTACTGAGCTCCCGAGTGCCGGGCCCTGTGTGAGGGCCCAGGAACACCGCCCTGCAGGGGCAGCTGCCTCTTAGGCCTCAGAGGGAGGATTCGTGAAGGAAGACTGTGCTTCGGTGCCAGCCTTAGGCTGAAATGAACGGCAGATTCCCGAAAAGCTGAGTAGACCACCCGATCCCCAGAGGCATTTTCTGGCTCTAATGCGGTATGGAGCAGGGAGTCAATTACTTAATAAAAGTACCATCACGACAATTTGAGAACCTATTCAGTGAGGGTTCCAGGCTTGAGATGGCAATATGTCCCCTGCCCTATTTTACATTAAATTGTCAAAATCAGAGAATGACACAGAATAAATGCAAAGTGTGACAAGAGGTACGAAGGAAACCAGAAAGACAGGAGATAAATGTTAGTGTGGGAGGGGAGAACTTACTTGGTAAAAGGGCTAGATAAAAGCCTCTCTGGGGGGACATATTTGTGCTAAGAGCTGAGACTCACTCAATGAGACAGAGCTAACCTGGCAAAAAGCAGAGAAAGTGTTATTGGCAGAAGAGACAACCCGTGCAAAGGCCCTGAGACAGGAAGACCTGTTTGTATTGGAGGAACTGGAAGAAGACCAGTGTGGCTGGAGTGTGGTGAGCAAGCAGAAAAACAACACTTAGATCTTACGTCGTGCGGTAGGGTGAGGGTGTCTGTCGCATGTGCATGGGAGAAGCGCGGGCAAGAACGCGAGATTCGGCTGCTCTGGAAAACCCAGAGCCAGGAGAGGCTGAAACCCGCCAGGAGAGGCTATGGCCCGCTGGGAGCGCTCCAGAGTAGTTCCAAGTCCCCCTCCACCCACTCCAACCAACCCCTACCTCCATCCCACCCAGGTAAGATGCCTAGGTATCGCCTTTCTCTCCCCTCTGGGCTCCCACCTGGGGGGCAAGCTGGTCGTTGGCCCCATAACCCCGGCACCTGCGGTGGAAAGCGAGACCGTGGTTACTGCCCCGGGTCTCCGCGGTCCGTTCGGTTCGGGAGGCTGCACGCGTGGCGCGCCACAGGACACCATACTGGACTTTGCTCAGACGAAGCTGGGACGTCCTTCCGACCCTGGGCTCCCCATCCACCCTCCCACACACGCCCGGATTTGAGGCCGACCCTGAAGCCATCTCTGCCCGAAGAAATCAGAGAACAGGGCGTCCTGGACGAAGCGCCCTGGTGCCCGGGCTTACAGTGCATCTCCAGCGACCCGCCAACCAGGGCTGGCCTACCTAACCTCCCCACCCCCGTTTTCTTTTCATTTACTACCAGGTCTTGTGGGACCCACAGCCGATGGAAAAGGGGAGAAGGCAGCCCAAGAAACGCACCACAAAGTGCGCGCCACACACCGCTGGGCTCGGGCGCCCGCCCCCACCAGTAGACGCTGGGACACAGGTCCCTAGGATTCTCTGGGGCCTTCCCCCGCCACCCCCTGGCATCCCAGCGTGCCCCCGCGAGGAGAACCTCCGAGCTGCCAGGCACCTTCAGAGGCCGATGCACTGGACCACCCGAGATCCCAGAGGGCAGGTCGCGGCGCGGGGCGGGCCATGGGTTACAGCGTTTGGGAATTCCTGGTCCTCCGCAGGCGTCCTCTCCCCCAACAAGACATTTAAAGAAGCCTGGGCCGGCCGAGGTCGCGTCGGCCTGCGGTCAGCAACGACGGCGAGAAACCTGATTGTCACAGCAAAAACGGAGACGCCGTGTCTTGGGCACAAACCGCCTGCAGCCCCGGCCGGCCGCCCGCGGGACCTGGCCTCTCTGCAGCCCAGCTGGCCCGCGATTACTTTCGTGCACCTGGTGGCGCCTCACGTCCTTTCCCAGGACTTTCCCAGCCATCAGAAAAGCTGTCGACCGGTTCCTTCGTCCTGCGGTCCCTTCTCTCCTTGTGATACCAGCCCCACAGTGGGCAAGTTTTCCTCCCGGCAAAGAACAGTATCTGCTCCGCGGGGACGCAGTTCTGCAGCTCTGCATTCTCCCCGGATCTGGAGGCTCCTCTGGGCCTGCTCGGGGCGTGCATTGCCTCCCCAGGGTTAGGGTCAAGAGCCCCGGGGGGGCGAGGATGAAGGGGGGATGGGAGCAGCCTGGGTGGAGGGCGGCAGCACGGTGCCAGGGGGCAGCACCCAGCAGGTCGACCCCGGCCCTCTACTGTGGCTATGAACGTGGTTGGTCAGGTTCCTGATGCTCCCAAGATTGTAAAGCGAAGATGATAATATCAATAACCTACTTCTCTGACCTGTTAGGAAGGTTGAATGAGATGATGGAGGTGAAGCTCTTAGAACAGTACAGCTCCGGATAAGCACTCGACCGCCATGAGCTGCAATAGTAATAATGACAGTCTGACCCCTCGGAAGCGTCAGGGGCGTTTACTGAGGACTCACTCAGCCTAAGCCACCATGTCGCCAGTGTCCCAGGCTGGTTTGCAAAGGAGGGCAGGCACTCAACGTATTTTATCTTACTGAAAAGAGCTGGAAATAACGGCCAATCGAGTTCCAACAAGCACCTTAACAGCCCAGACTGTGGCTTATAAAAACTTTTATCTGCCAAAAGTGATTAGCGCTCCTCTGAGAGAGGGCTGATTCTAGGTCTGGGGTAGAAAATATTCAAAATTTTCTTGGAACTTTTTCTCATGCCAGAAAGTAAAGAAGCTATCAAAGAGTACTGTATGAAAAGATCTCACAAACGAATTTAAACTGGCTCCTACAGCTCAAAGTTCAGACATTAAAATTTTTTTAAATGTACTCAAGCAAGGTATCAGTCAGACATACTTCTGGTAATGTGATAGTCTCTGACTTACTATTCACTGTATTTTTTTTTTAATTTTAGATAGAGAGCAAGGAAGGGAAAAATTGAGGGAGAGAAACATCACACCCCAAAGCACAGAGACCGCAACCCAGGTACGTGTCCTGACCTGGAATTGAACAGGCCATCCTTCATTTTTCGGGGTACCACCATGCAGGCCAGGGCAAAGGCCACACAGTTTTTTTAAATTTCTTTAAAGATTTTATTTATTTATTTTAGACAGAGGGGAAAGGGGGTAAGAGAGGGAGAGAAACATCAATGTGTGGTTGCCTTGTGCATGTCCCCTACTGGGGGCCTGGCCTGGAACCCAGGCATGTGCCGTGACTGGGAATTGAACCTGCCTCCCCTTTGGCTCACAGGCAGGCACTTAATCCACTGAGCCACACCTGCCAGGGCTAATTTAGATTTTTATTTTTCAAAAATACAGAGAGAATGAAGAACATGTTAATGACACCATGGGGATGAAATTGGCAAAATTCATTCTGTGAGAAACATTACAGGATGAAAAATCCAGTTCTCAAATTTACAAAAAAAATTGCAGGATTAAAAAGATAGAGGAAGAAACTACAGATTAAAGGAAACACAAAAGATAAAATAATTGTTCCAGCTATTTAAACTCGTGTCACAAATCACTCCCAAACTTAGTGTCTTAAAACAGCAGCAACATTAAATTTTCTCATGAGTCTGGAATTTGAGAAGAGCTCTTCAGGACAATTCACCTTTACTCCACTGGAATGACATCAAGGTTCGGGACTGGAACCTTCACATCTACATAATCTGCTGCCACGTTTTATTACAGTCGGCCCTGAAATGTCACTTAACTGTTTCACGTGACCAAGGCTGTCTCCCAATAAGCTGCTGGAGAAAAAGGGCTGGACTACCCTTGATTTTTTACATTTGCTGGATGCCCAGGCACGATGGTCTAAATGTGCTTCCCTCCGATTCAGATGTTGAAACCTAGTCACCAAGATGATGGTATTTGGACATGGGCAGGTCATGAAGGAAGAACCCTCATGAATGGAACTAGTGCTCTCATAAAAGAAGCCCCAGAAAGATCCCTCACCCTTTCTGCCATGTGAAGTTACAGTAGAAGATGCTGGTTAGGAGACACGTGGTAGGCCTTCACCAGACTCTGAATCTGTTGGCGCCGTGCTCTTGGCCTGCCCAGCCTTCAGAAATGTGACAAATAAATTTGTTATTTAGAAACCACCCGGTCTATAGTATTTTGTTACAGCAGCCCGGATGAACTAAGACACCAGAGCAGGGTTTTAACGTAGTAAGTGTTCAATAGATATGAGATGGTATGTTAAGGTAGACATCCCCTTCTTCTCTAAACCTTTTCCCCCTCCCTCGTTGCTGAAGCCAGACCAGTGCTTTATAAGAAGATGGAGAGACAGAGTGCTTTGCAAAGTGCTTTGCAGTTCATTTCTCTGTTGTAGTGAATAATCAGCACAGGATTTTTGCAGAAGCTAAAGCTTTTATTCTAACTAGGAGTCATTTACTTTCTGAAGATAGTTCCCTGAGCCCTTAGTGAAGAGAATAGCCTCGTTGATGCTCTCAGTGATGTAATCTATGTTGCAGGCATTGATGCAGGTGAAGTTAATCCGACCATTCTTGGGGATGTAGATATGTTTCTTCTTGACCATGTATTCCACCTGTTGGACTGGTGATAATCATAGGCTCTCTCAGATCCTGGGGTGGCCACCTCTAAATCCCCTCTAGCCCAAGATGGATTGCGGGGGGATAGGGAATGTCAGCATTTCTGGGGGGCACAGCCAGAAGGGTCTTCGAAGCAGCTTCACTTTCCTCAAGGAAGAATCAAAATCTGGTGTGAAGCTAGAGATTGGTCACCTAATCAGCAAAGTTTAATATTCAAATATAAGCCCAAGGTCAGGAGAGGAAGAGCTGTCCCCTCCTAGACACTTACGGTCAAGTCCAAGGTAGCAATGGGTCCCACTCTGGTTGGTGATGTGGTCCCAGCAGCCAGGGGTTCCCAGGAGCCGGAGCTTCTCCTTGACCTTTTCTTTAATCAGCATGATGTCTTCTACAACCTCTTTCAGACTCTGCTTCCTGCCAAAGGAAGGACAGCAAGGAATCAGAGTGTGAGGTCTTTCCCTGCTCCCAACCTCCCTTGCCCTTCCACTCCTCCTGGCCCTTCAGAAGCCCCCAGCCAGAGTGCCTCAGGGCACACTGGTGGAGCCAGTGATCTGAGTCAGTTATGAATAGGAGAAAAGCGTCAGCCTGTAGACTTGTAGATTCAAGCAAGCCAAGCAGACTCTTAGCAGACTTTACCAGAGTAGCAAGCCCAAGAGGCTTCCTAATCTCCTGCGATCTGGAAGGCTTCAAATAATTTATCAGCCTGTGTCCCAACAGAATGTCCTATTACTTACTCCCCTATAATAGGGGAGTAAGTGTTGGCATAGTCGCTGTCGGAACACAGTGGGTCCTCAGTAAACGTTGATGGATGAATGGAGTGAAGGGGCAACAGTGGCAGGAAGAGAAGCCCCCAGCAGAACCAGGAAGTCTATAGGTATCCAGAGGCTCTGCCCATCCCTGCCTGCCCCCACCCTTCACCCTTACCAGGCTTCCTGCACAGCAGAGTTACAGAGGATGGAGGTGATGATGCGGGCACCGGAGGTAGGAGGGTTTAGCCACAGGGCCAGAGCTAATTTCACCAGCTGGGAGAGGACGCACAGCAGGAGCTGGTTGTTGAGCGCCACCACGACCAGGAGCCCCACTCCTTCATCTGCAGCATTGAGAGAGACAGCTTCGTTCTCAGCGTCCTCCACCCCCACCAGGGCTTTCCCTGTTGCTCTGCCTCCAGCCTTGAAGAAGAGCAAGGTACCCTACAGGGCCGTCAGCCCAGCCAAGCTGGTGTCCGGGCCCCAAGAAGTCGCCAGAGGCTCTTCTTCCAGAAAGAGTAGTGGTAAGTAAGAGTCTCAGGTGGAAGGGACTAGAAAGATAACTAATCTTAACCCCTCATCTTATAGATGGGAAACGAGGCCTAAGGGGGGGAAACAGCATAATGGGCGCCAGTTTAACTGACTGCGCTAAAATGATACCAAGAAGCCGCAGTCCACCTCTTCTCTTGGGTCTCCATGCTGCTCTCTCTCTGGAGGTCTCAGCTCTCCCCACAGGGTAAGGGATGTCAGACAGCACTGTCGCCAAGGGTGTGACACCCCTTTAGCACCAGACGCCCCTTCCCCCTCCATGCATGCCATACCGTAAATGCCAAAATTCTTGGACAGCGACTGGCTGCAGAAGAACTCCAAGCCTCCAGACACGAAGTATTTTAAGAATCCAGTATCTTCTTCTAGGTCACCAGTGAATAAACCTTGATTGGGAATGTCAAAAAATGGAAATATCTGCTTCTTCTGTAGGAGAAAGGAGAATGGGGGGGATGAGACTGAGGAAGGTGACGGTAGAGGGAGAGGAGAGTCGGGAGAGACATCGGGCTCACCTTCATGGCGGCTATCAACTTTTCCCACTGATACTGGCTCAGCTTGCAGCTGGCAATGTTCCCGATCACAAAGACACAGCCACCAGGGGCCTGCTGCAGGTGGAGACTGTCGCGTCAGGCACCGCCCCCCACCGAGCGGCAGTGGCACCAGGGGGTTTGGAGGAGAAGTGACCCTCCACGTTGGTTCCTACCAAAGGGCTAGACAAATCCAAGCCTAGGAAAGGCCTTGGATTATCAGGGGGGTGGGGAGGAAAGGAAAATAAAACTGTGAGTCAGGTCTGGGGACCAGATTCTGAGGGGGGCCCTCTACCTTCACCACATTGAGGAGCACGTTGGGGTCCATGCACAGCTGCTTGGAGTCCCAGAAGCAGTGTTCGTAAACTGTAAAGCCCATTTCCTGGAAGATGAGTCCATGCGGTTCTGTGGGAACACGGCGCCCCGCCAGCTGGTTCATGGGCAAAGGAGAGATGGAGGCAGACATGCCAGAGAACCGGCCTGAGGGTCACTGGGCGAAAGTGGGGCGATGGCGGGACAAGCGTACCTTGGCTCGTCCCCCAGTTGTCATGAGAGGGAGTGAGGAGGACAACAGAGAAGATCGTAAATGGGGTGGGAATTAGAAACAGGGGACAGGGATCTTCTGTCACCCTCATCTTGCATAACACTCACCTTTTTGAGAAGAAATGATGTAAACTATTTGAGAATCCTGACGCCAAGTTTTGAGGAACTGGGCCCCAAGTTGGAAAGCGCCACTGTCACCAACAGTGTGTATACCCCCTACCTGCCGGTAAACAGAAACAACGTTTTAAAAGAGTAATGGTGCCCCAGCTAGTGTGGCTCAGTGGACTGAGCCCCAGCCTGGGAACCAAAGGGTCACAGGTTCGATTCCCAGTCAGAGCACATGCCTGGGTGGTGGGCCAGGTCCCCAATGGGGTGTGCGTGAGAGGAAACCACACACTGATGTTTCTCTCCCTCTCTTTTTCCCTCCCCTCTCTCTAAAAAAATTTAATCTAAAAAAAAAAAGTAGTGGTGATACTAGTGCCACCTTAGATTCAGGGCCATTTTTTCCAGCAAGAGCTTGCACATCCACAGTGTGGGCTGGTGCCAGCAGGAGCATGGGCCTCGGCTTCCGATGCTGTCTCTGCCCTTCAGTGACAACCTTTGTGAGCCTCAGGTGTCTCCCTTGTCAATGTCAGGGGGCCCTCCACAGTCCCTTTCAGGTTTAAGACGGTGCCATCTCTGACCTCCACTCCGTGTGGCTGGGCGAGCAAAGAACAGGCCCTTCTTCTCACCCTGTTTTCCATAATGACTTCGCTGTGCTTTCCAAAGAGGAGTTCCAAGCAGGCCTGGATGAATGATTTCATGCCCTTCACCGGCACGTACTCATAGTTCAGCGAGGGATCCTGTGCAATCTGCAGGCGGGTCTTGTGCACCACGGAAGAAACCCAGGGCTGGCCTTCGCTGGTCATGCAGACTGTGACAAGAACCGTAGAGGGCGCTCTGGAGGCCGGGCCTGGGGGCTCGGCAGGCAGCCCGCAAACACTTCATCTGTCCTGGCTTTCTGGGGGCTTTGGAAAGTTGCCTAGGAAAAGACAACTTTCCTTTTTTCGTCTCTTTTATAAAAATAATGCACCATTAGTCAATACGTATAATTTTTGTCTTTTTAAAGAAGACAGCTGAAACCTATGCCATTTTAAAGGGTAAAAATGATATACACAGCCTGGGAGTTATAGATACCTGAGATTAAACAAAGGTAACATTGACGTTCACAGTGGCAAGGGCTGGCTGTGCATCTTGTGTCCATTTTGGGAACCATTATTGGCTGAGGAACAGAGCAGGGGTGGAGGAAGAGGCAGAAGAAAAGTGTAGGGCCCGTGCAAGCCCCACACAGAGCCGGGGGAGTAGACATGCCAGAGCGTATATCAAGTATCTAGAAGCCCCCAGAGAAAGGCAGAATGACCCAGGACATTTTCTGCTCTTTTCCCCAGTGGGCAATTTTGTTAACAAGAGCAGACTTACATCCTGATTCCTCTGCCGCAATGGAGTACTGCCCCCTAAAGGCAAGTACGATGTACTAAGTCTTAGGCATCTACCTCTATAGGCCAGGAATAGCTTGTCAGGGCAATCGTCTTGTTTGTAGGCCCTTAACAAGCAGCCGTCCAGCTTCTGGGCTGCAGGCACATCCAAGAATACTGAAAGGGTGGACATCGCCGGGATGAAAGTAGAACCAAGACTATGATTCCATTCCTATGTTCTATCCCACTTCTGGCCGAAGCCTTCCTCTAACCCGGAGCCACACAGGCCTTCCTCTCTCCAGAAGCCCCAGACAACTGGTCACCAGAGCAACAGAACCCAACTCCCAGTCCCCATGGTGGCGAGCCTCAAGGACTATGGGGATGCTCTATGGCACTGGAGGAGAATCCCCTGAAAGGTGACTGGGGCAGGGAGTAGAGAGGACCCGGAATTCCCAGGTCCTAAATCATTGCCTTCTCTTCTCCGGCTGCAAGTCACCCAATCCAAAATAACAAGTCAGTTTAGAAGGTTAGGGCAGCCCTGGCTGGTGTGGCTCAGTGCACTGAGTGCTGGACTGTGAGGCAAAGAGCACTGGTTTGATTTCCAGTCCGGGTACATCTGGTCTGGGTTGCGGGCCAGATCCCTGGTATGGGGTGCACGAGGGGCAACCACACATTGATGCTTCTCCCCCTTTCTCCTCTCTCCCCTCCCATCTCTCTATCAATAAATACACAGAATCTTTTAAAATATATATTTTAAAAAAGAACAGGAAGAAGATAGAGCAAGGCAGGCAGGCAATGAGCCAGGTGAGGGTCCCTCCAGCAAAAGTGAAAACCTTAGATCCGGTGAATCGAGGGACTGATTGATTGATGATTGACTATTCAACTATTCCCCCTACCACTCTCCTCCACCTTACCCACAAGGGATACATTTAAAAAGCTTCTACTTTCATTTTGCTAAGGGCTCCTGATTTTAACAAATTTTTTCCATGTGTTTTTAAGATTTTATTTATTTTTAGAGAGAGAGGAAGGGAGGGAGAAAGAGAAACATCAATGTGTGGTTGCCTCTCACACGCCCCCCCAACTGGGGTTCCTGGCCCACAACTCAGGCATGTTCCCTGACTGGGAATCAAACCCACAACTCTGTTTTCCAGGCCAGCACTCAATCCACCAGCCAGAGCTCCACAGTTATTTTAATAAAGGGTCCTAGGTTTAGGAACAGTATAACTTACAATCAAAGGAAGCCAGCCTGTTTCTCTCACCTATCTAGAGTCAAGACTTGTGCACTATGAACTGTTTCGGTGGTGGCCAAGCAGCAGGTTAAAAGGCAAAGGTCAAGGGTGGAAAGAGTCAGCCCCTGGAGGATCAATCTTGAATTTTTCTTCCTTTTTCTTTTACTTTTTTAAAAATAACTTCATAACCCTGGCTAGTGTGAGTGCCAACCTGCACTCAACCCATTGAACCGCACTAGCCAGGGTTATGAAGTTATTTTTAAATAACTGGTCACTGGTTTGATTCCCAGTCCGGGCACGTGTCTGGACTGCAGGCCAGGTCCCCAGTCGGGGGCTACGTGAGAAGCAACCTCACATCGATATTTCTGTCCCTCCCTTTCTCCCTCCCTTCCCCTCTCTCTAAGAGTAAATAAATAAAATCTTTTACCAAAATGTAAAAATAAAATAAAAATAACTTGAAATGTAAAAATAAAAATAAAGGGTTGTTGGAGTCTCACCAGAGGCCCTTTCCCAGCCCCGCTGGTGGGTTCAGCTTCATCTTCCAGATCCACTTTCTCTGGAGTATTGCCTTTGGCTGACAGGAGCCAACTGGCCTAAAAATTGCCTGGCAGATCACAGCCCCACCAAGACAGGTAGCCAATGACGGATCTAGGTGTCCAAAAGGCCAGCCCTTTGTCTTGGGGTAACTCTTGGGGTAACAATTTGTATTCCAGGGCCCATCCACATATCAGGTCAAAACTTGACTCGGGCCCCGGGACCCCCTCCTTGCAGGCCTCGTCCCCTTCACAGGTCTGCCCCCCTCACTCCCCCAGAGCCCCCTTCCGCAGGGGACGGCTCCTTCTGCAGATCGTGAGCCTGAATCCCTTCCCAGGCCTTGCTGCCAGGGAGCCCGCCTTGAGTCAAACGATTATGAAAGTAATCCCCATTGTTGTAGAAAACGTCCAAACTTTGAAAAACTCCAACGAAGAACACAGATTTCCTACCATTGATCCATAACCACAGTTAACATTTTGGTGGCCCCCTTCCAAGTTTTAAAAAATAATTTTATATTTAAGATAATTAGCACCAAATTGACATAGCATTTTCATTGTGCTTTCTTTGCATTTCACATGTGAGAATTTTAATATGTGTACCCATGAGAACTTTCTATGCTACAAATAATTTAAAATGCCTGACTCAGACTGCCTGGAGCTAGAGGGAGAATTTATTGGCTCTATCACTGGGCAGGCCCAGGGACATGCGACTTCATTCCCGGGCCAGTCCACTGTGTCACAGCGTCATCAGGGTTCCAGCTTCATTCTCTCTGGTCCCCTCGTCTCTGCTCTTCTGGATGCTTCAGCTTTGGTCTCTGGCTGACTCTGGGCATGGAGCGAAAGCAAGTGTAGCATATGTGCAAAATGATATGCATTGGAGGAATTTTCGTTGCAACTATGTGCAAATCAACTACATGCCAACCACTGAAAGAATGCTTCCATTAATAAGGGGCTATCCACAAAAAGGAATCCTGTGCCGCTGTTCCAGGCAGACCTTTATGTATAACGGTGAAAACTCTCCAAGAACATCAGTAAGTAAAAACAAGAGAGGCAGAGAGTAGAGAGCCAAGAGGGGACACTTGGGGAGGGATACAGGACATGGGCAGGGAAGAAGGCGGACTTGCTTTTCACTGTATATTCCCTTGTGCCTTTGGAATGTTAAACCGCATGAAGAGATTTCCCATTTAAAAACAGTGTTTATGTTTTTTAAAAAATGGCTGCAGCCTTTCCAGACATCACCTCCTTATTATCCAGAGGAAGACAGAGCATCTCTCCTCTTTGATCCCGGGGAAAGCAAGGTCGTTTCCTCTCCGGAAGCCCCAAGCCTTCCTTCCCCCTTCCTTTGGCTGCAGTGACTGCCGGCGCATCCCCGACCTTACCACGGCAGAGCATGGGATCCTCCAGTGAGTTTAACCCAACTGCCTAGAGCCGAGGGTGGTGTCCATCCCTCCCAAATTGCACAGTCAGGAATGGAACCTTGATTCCTGAATCCTGAGCCAGTGTTTGCTCTGAGAAGGGGAATGTGGTTGAGTCCGTTTGGAGAAGAGCCTTTCATTGCTCTCTAGTCATGCAGTTCTAAGGAAATGATCCTAACTAAAGCTTCCAGAAGTCACTACTTCTGATATGGAGGCAATTCCCCCCAAATGATGCCAACTGCCTGGAGAGAGAAGCTGGAAAGAACGTTAGCTGAATCAAGCCTTTAATTCCTGCCAGTATCAGTTTGAGCTCCTGGTTGTGAGCAGCAGAAACTGCCTCGCTGATTTGAGCATAAGAGGGATTCAGTAAAAGGATATCTGATAGCTCACATAATTGACAGGGAAGCTGGAGATTTTGGAGCAGAAGGAAGCAGGTGAGGGTGCCACTTCTGAACAACAGACAACACTGTGACCGGCTCTACCCGTATGTCCCTCTGCTGGCCCCAGTGCCGTTGCATGTCCGACAGACAGGGTTTTATTTCCACAGCTGCTGTGTCACACTGTGCTCCCTTCTAACTTCACCTGCCAGGCGCACGGTTGAGAAAATCTGTGTCTGATTGGCTGAACCTGCTCATGTGACCTGCTGGCCCCTCCCCGTGCTCTCACTAGGGGCTGGTAGGACTGAGGGTCTGACTATTTCAGCTCCAGTTGTGATGGGTGGGCTCTGTCTCCCATCAAGATTCAGAAAACACAGAATTCCCCAAAGGCTAGAAAGAGGTTCACAGGCGAGGCAGCCCCTAAAAGGACAAATATTCACAATCACATCACACCTTTCTCTTTCTCCCCCCCAGTAGATTCATCTACTGCTGGCACTTCTTTCACGAAGACAAGAAACGCAATTGAAAGAGGCTTCCACGTGGCCCCATTGTAACTGCCCGTCTACACAGGCACCCACCTACTCCGTCTTCCCTCTTGGTGCAATGTCTGAGCCGCCTCTCCTGTGGCCCTATCTCAACGCAGCCTTCCCCTTTGTGCCCTGGGTCCCGGCTACCACACTCCTGACGTTGCCCTTTTTCTTCTCTGTCATCAATTCCTCTTCTTCCCCGAACACTCTCTCAAGCACACAAACAAGCGGCGAAACTCCCATCTTAAAAACAAACAACACTCCTTTGGCCTCACATCCCCTCTGCAGCTATCACCCCGCGTGTCCACCCGTGTTCAGCCCAGGAAACATTTGCTGGGAGCCCCGCGGGTATTGCAGGAATCGGGCCTCACACCATTGGAGAAGGGCCTGGGGAAGTGAGTGTCCAGAGGAGGGAGCTAAAGAATCAGAGAAAAGTCATTCGTCAGGCTTCCTGAAGCACCGGGGTGTGGACAAATCAAGGCTTGTAGGAAAATTCAAGAAGCCAGATACACCCCGCTGCAGGAATGGCACCGAGGAGGGGAAATGCATGGAGAGGTCTACAGGGAAGATACAGCTTCTGGCGGCTGCCCCGCCTGTGGGTCTGCAGCCGTGTGGCTGGTGGTGGGCCCCGGTGCTCGGTGCTCGGAGGAATGGCGGGCGGACAGTCCCACAGGGACGTGGACGGAGGGCTGTCCAGAGACAAGCCGGAGCCTGCCTACCACCTCTGCCTCCAGGTCTCACCCCGACTCCTTCAGGTATCAGTGGGGACTCTGTTCACTTCTGCCTCTCAAATCTTGAGCAAGATCCTCTTTTAGAGAATCTCTGACCTGGAATCCAACAAGGATTCTTAGAAACAGAGTGCCCAGATTGATCATCGACCACACCACATTTCTCCGGCCTCCTTCAGAGCAATCGCTGCTGACAGAACGTCTTATATTCTCTGCCTCCACTTCTTCACCCCCCAAGTTCCGTGGAACCCTCTACGATCAGCATTTCATCGCCTCCACACCATCCAGTTGCTCTTGTGAAGGTAACAAATTATAGATCTTCGTTCTGTTAGTACGAAGGTGTATCGTCAGGTCTCCTCTCATTTGATGTTTCAGCAGCATGTG